TTTTGGCCCGGCCGGGCAAGTGACCCCGGGCCACTCTGGTAGCCTAGGCCATAATATTGATACATGTTTATTTTTTTTCACTGGTCAATGGTAGCCTTCTCCATCTCAGGTCCTGGAGCATAATTCCCCACCATCGATGGAAAGTGAGATTTCATCTAAATGTATGCCCTCGTGCTCCAGCACCCAGAGGAGGGTGGAAGAAGGTTGCTGCACAGAGTACCAAGATGGGAAAGGAGAGGAGCACAGAGACGAGCGCACAGATGGCCGCACAGAGCAGGGCACAGAGGGGTGCACGGAGGGGGACAGACAGGAGCACACGGAGGGTTGCACCGAAAGGCGCAAAGGGAGGTGTGGGGGGGAGCAGCAAGGAGACACAGAGGGTCGCACAATGCAGCACATAAGAGGGGTGCACAGACGGGGGAACAGGGGGGGGAACAGCAAGGTGTGTGCCGCAGAGGCGTACACCGAGGGGGGCACAAAAGGGGGGACAGAGTGGAACTGAGTGGATCAGAGAGACGGACACAGAGGCGCACAAAGAAGGGCACACAGCCCGAACAGTGGCGGGAATCAGGTGGGAACAGAAAAAGTAAGAGGGAGGGCAACAGAGGTAGAACGGAGAGGTGGGAAGCACAATGGCCTTCTCTTCATCTCAGTGTCCAGGTATGACTTCCAGCCTAGTGAAACTATTTCTTCTCTTCCTCTCATTCAGCAACTAGACAATTGTGGAAGATTTATGCCATGCTTCACATTCCGTACGGCACTGCAAAGAAGCATCTTGTCATTGGTCAAAAGCCACTCGACCTTACCCACAACACCCCCTTCAACACCTCAGGTGGATTAACCTCCCTCACAGCTTGCGCAAGCCAGAAAGAGAATTGTATCAGTTGAGCAGGTAACGCTATGGAGGATGATCTGAAAAAAGTGATGCAGCCCCAAGGTGGAAAAGTCCGGTGGCCCTAGAGAGCCTAACAACCAAAAAATGCCAAGAAATCTGACTGAAGTAGAGACGAGTTGTAAGCAGAGATGCACCCAAGGCTAACATCGAAAGAGCTCCACGCGAAGAACGCACACTGAAGGCAAGTTCTTCTCAGGCATCATTGTCGTCTTCCTCTTCACGGTAATGGCTCTGCCTTCAGAGGCCAAAATTCTCACACACACACACACAGAGAGAGAGAGAGAGAGAGAGAGAGAGAGAGAGAGAGCAATGAAGGCAAGTTCTTCTCAAGCATCATTGCCGCCTTCCTCCTTAGCTCTGCCTGAGGCCAGTATTCTCTCTCTCTCTCTCTCTCTCTCACACACACACACACACACACACACACAGAGAGAGAGAGAGAGAGAGAGAGAGAGAGAGAGAGAGAGAGAGAGAGAGAGAGAGA